CTAGGTTTTACCTTCTCCTGTGCTAGCATGGGAAGACAATTAGGAAAGGAAATGTTGGGATTTTGATGTCAGGACCTTATTTATTGTAGAGAATAAGAAATGAACCAGCAGAGCTCAGTATTCTGGGACTGTCCCTATCTTCGTATATGATTTGAAAGGCTTCATATCCAGAATCCCTAGTACTGTTGTTATCCCTGTTCCTAGGAACCCAGCCCTGAGGGTGACGGTAGATCATGGTTGTTTTCCTATTTCGAAGTTTGATGTGCTGGTTTAAGAGGCATGTGGATCCTGAAAGCCCTGGTTTGTTTTCTTCCTTCCAGCGGATGTAATTACAGCTCTCACTTCCACCATGTCTGTGAGTCACTGAGCTTTGAAATGTGCTGGCGTGCTGTTAGCCCAGCGTCCCTCTCCCTGGGGCTCTCCTAGATTATCAGGACCTAATTTTCCACTGGATTTACTTTAATGTTGAGCGTTGCAAGGTCATTTCCAGGGCTGTCACTGTTTCTTCCTCATAATGTGCAGCCACAGTTTAATTTTCAGCGTTTATCACTGCACTTCATTACATGGGAAGAAATACATTTGTGCTAGCAGATAGTATTAAATGTGTTTTTCTTTCTTTCCCAATTGGAAAAATCAGTCCTAATCAATTCTAGGCTGGTGGGTTAGATGGCCTGGGAATACTGGGAAGGGTATTTTCTGTTTATAGATTTGCCAATCTGAGATTGTGCTCAAATTTTGTTGTTCCCACTTTTGTTTTGTGCATGGCACTGATTTGGCCAATCAGTTTTTTCATACAGCATCTTAGGCTAAATCTATTGTTTCTCTTCAGTTCTATCATGGGCCTTTGTGACAGTCCTTTCTGTTGCTCACCCTGGTCTGCTTCTGATTATGTAATAAAATCCATGATCAGCTGTAGTAAACGGCACCATCTTACTTGAAACTTTCATGCCCTAGATGCCTATCATCCCAGGAAGATGGTGGAGTATGGTCCAAGGTCGCATTGCCCTTTGATAAATCAGAACATAGGCTAAGAGGAACAGTGTGAACTGCTCAGTGGTACACAGAGCTGTGACAGGATGAGGGCTAGGTTTCCTGATTCTCAGCCCATTGTTCTTTCTTCCGGGCACTTTTCTCGGGGAGTATAGATAACACAGTCACAGTACTCACTGCTATTTTATTGAACGTCAAATAGGTGCCAGGCCCATACATTATCTCTAATCCTCACAATTCTGCAAAGTAGGCTTTACAGGTAAAGACACTGAGACTGAGAGACGCTGAATGACTTGGCCAGAGCCACTCAGCCAGCTGTTGCAGATCCGGGTGGAACCCATCTGTCAGAGCCATGCCATGTCCTTCCTGCACTGCGGAGGGTTTATGAATGGTTCAGTGAAAGTGTAAGAAGGAAAAACCTGCTTGCCCTTCCCATCCCTTGATCCATTTGATCAGCAGATAATTCATGATTTCCCAATTGCTGTGTGTCACGCACATGCTGGGCACCAATGAGTAAGACAAAGGGCCCGTCCTCAGGGAGCTCTCATTTTCATGAAGCTCTACCCCCCCTCCACATTCTCTCTTCTGCAACACTACCCATTGCTTTCACTGCAAGGTTTGCCAGTTTTGTCAGCACTGTGCTCTGATGTCTCCTTTTTTTCCATTTCGGGGGCCACATTAGGACTAGGTACACATGACCTCTGTGTGCAGTGCCTGCGAGATCCTCCTGTGCCCTCCAGTTAGTAGCACTTAGTGAGAACTCACAGCATCCTGGGCTTTACCTCCTGATCTATATGCATTACCTTCTTTTTTTGTTTCCATTGATTTTTTTTTTAATTTATCTTTATTGCTGAAAGTATTACAGGTGTCCCATTTTTCCCCCCATCGACCCCCTCCACCTCTCTCCCAACCCCTCCCCAGGCCTTTACCCTATTATTGTCTGTTTCCATGGATTATGCATATATGCATATAACTTTTTTGGTTAATCTCTTCCCACTCTCTACCCCCCTTCCCTCTTCCCTCTGAAATATGATCATCTGTTGCATGTGTCAATGGATCTATTTAGTTTGTCAGATACTTTTGTTCATTAGCTTCTTCTTAAAGAAGACCCTTCAACATTTCATGTAGTACTGGTCTGGTGGAATTTGTAGAGTGGCTTTGTGTAGCAAGTGTCCTGTAGGGTCCAGTGGCTCAGCCTCCCCAGTCACCTGAGCTGGGCCTTCTAGGTGCTCCCCTGTGTGGACTGTGTGCACTGTCCTATTGAGCCTTGGTTGCTGTTGGCGTCACTGGGAGGAACTGACCCCCAGGCCAATCAGCTGTGAGGAAGAGCTGCTATGCTGGAGACACCCCTATGGAGCAGGATTTACTTCAGTGGAGCTTTGGTGTTCACCAAGTGTGCCCCTTGAGTGTGTCACTTGTGGATGTGGTAGGGTTATAATCCAGCATGGTTGAGTCAGACCATCAGGTGCACTGTCTCTGGGACCTCCCGGGAGGTGCAAAAACAGCCTCTGCCTGTGCCTTACAGCGCGGAGACTTAGTCTCATCATGTGCAAGAGTATAATCTGGACCCCAAAATGTTGTCATTTCAGGGACATTTTGATGGTTTATGGAGATAACGTGAGAGCATGTATCAAACAGAGCCTGCCTTGCCAAATAGATAACATGTGGTTATTATACCCCAGTAACCTATCAAGCTTTGCTTATCGACACTGAAGAGGGTGAAATCTTTCTGTGGAGTTTTAATATCCCAGAACCTGTGAGACTTTAAACTCCTCTTCAATTTTTCACCTTTGTGCCCCAGGCCTAGTACAGTAGGGACTTTAGGAATATTTGCTGAACCAGAGAACTGGATCCCAGGTTCATGATGCCTGGAGGCAACAGGACAGGAGCCTGCACAGGGAGGGCGTAAACCAGCTAAATGGGCCTTGGGTGGACGGGCTGCCTTCCCCAGGCCCTGGCCCTTCCCCAGGCCCTGGCCCTCCCCTCAGTCCTACCCCACCCCACTTCTCAAGCCCACAGAACCGTGGAGAAGAATATAGAAATGCTTGCCTAGGGATTGATTAGTCATTCCATGTGTGCTTCCTTTTAAAAATACTCATTCCAAGAAGGATTTTAAGACATATGAGTTTCTACTCGGTCCTAGGCTTGTGTACAAATAGCTCTCCCATTTCACCTCAGATGACTTGTCTTCAGCCACTTTACCACAGAGACAGTGTGACCTGGCCAGGAATAGGGCCTCTCCATCCTGCAGCGACTTCGTTTCCAGAAGGACCCAGGGCAGCCTCAGCAGTCGCAGTTGCTCCTTAGTTCAGTTTCTAGTTACCCAGGATGACGACTTATGAGAAAGGACATATCACTTCCAGGTACTTCACACACACATGGTGTAACCACATTTTTCAATTTCTGAAGGATGTCATTGTCGGAAACCCCTTCTCTTGGTATCTCCAAGGAGTTTAAGGGCCTAGAGGAGGAGTAAGATCATGGGAAGCCAGCCCTGCACACCTATCTGGGCATGTCCTGTTTGAAATTGTGTGTGAGTGTGTGTACTTGCGGGCTTACCAGCTTATTACTCCAGATTTTCTCCCAGGATTGGGGTTTAAAAAATAGAGGCCCCAGTGTGGATGCTTAATTGGTTGTACATTTTTTACTCATATTGGGCACGTCTCCTAGCCTTCTCTTCCTCAATTTATGCAATCTTGTTTACTTATTTAGTAAAGTAGGTGTAGGGTTTACAATTCACTAAGATCCAAAAAGAACCATGTGGCAGGAACATTTTATCTTATTTAATTTTTTTATACTTGCTAAGATGCATGTGAACTCAGTGAGTGTTGAAAGCAACATACCTCATCAAGGTACCTTAGAAGAAGAGAAATGCTAACTGGTTGGTGGATTTGGTACAGTTGAATCAGGAGGCGGCAAAATACCCGTAACCTGAGTATGTCCTGTTACCTTACGCTCAATACGGACAAGGAGGCCCCGGCCACCCCACGCTGTTCTGGCAGCACAGGTTAGCAGCCCCTGCTCACGGTGCAGATGACGGCCAGCATCTCAGCATCACCTGGGAGCGTGTTAGAAACACAGAATCTCAGACCTATGAACCAGAATCTTGAGTTTAACAAAATCTCTCAATGTTTCTTATGCACACTCAAGTTGAGAGGTACCACATCAGAAAACATGGATTGTATCATCCTTGAGACTTCTGCACTTTCTGCCTCAGTGAGCAAACTCCCAGGGACTAGAGCCTTGTACCTGTGCCTAGCATAGACTCATCTGCAACCCATATTTCGGGGGCGGGGGTAGGGGGATGAAAGCATGCTTGTTTTTAATAGCATTTCCTACTTATGAACTAGCATGACCTTCACTTTCCCCAATGATTTCAGTTGGCTTTCAGAATATATCCAATAAGATGAAATAAGAAAATAAGGAAATCTAGATTTTTTTTTAAAAAGTATGTCTATGGAAAATAATATAAAACTGGATTATAATAGCACACATAAATGTTTGCCAAGTCCTGAGCCGTTGCTATTTCTATGTAGCCAACCACTTAGCCCTGAGTTCCCTAGTGATAAAAGCCAAAAAGAAACACAATTAGTAACAAGTCTACAGCAACGATTCTCAACCTTTTTCATCTCATGGTGCAGATAAAATATTTACTAAAATTCTGCTGACTATACTCAGTGATGGATATGGGAAGGCAAGGCTGGATGGAGCTACATTTCTCTACATAGTAAAAGCAAAGAGGAATCAAGAAGCCCTAAAGGAAGCTAATCAGTTGGGAAATTTGGGGAAAGGGTCCATAGAGAAGTCAGCCTGGGGGCTGGCACCAAGGGACTTTAGAGGGACCTGTCCATTTCTAATTAATGTTCAGTAAACTATTTCTCACTAATTGCTGGTAGCATGGATTTTCTTCAGAGGAAGGAAGGAAGGAAGCAGCACGTCCTGTTTCACCGTTGGCTGAGTTCAGAGGATGCTTATGGATGTTACTAACCTTATTGGTTTTTATTTCTCAGGCAACCTCAGAACCTGTTCTGGATCCACAGCAAATCCAAGCATTTGATCGGCTTTGTCGTCTCTACCGAGGAAGTTCCAGGGTAATGTTTGTGTGGTTGTTTAAATTTTTATTTCCTTATTTATAATTACTATTTTGGAAATGTAGAGTCTTCAAGTCCTCACTCCAGCCCCCTCCTTAGTCTAAAAAGTGCCCTGTTATGGCCACATGGAGCCCTGGTCCCAGGGAGCAATCAGAATTTGGCAAAGGATGCAAAGGAAGTGGAAAGATACTGGGTCCCTTACTTACCATGGGCTATGAGGACAAGGAGGGGCATCTGTGTTTCCTAATCCTTCATCTGGGACGCCTTTCTTTCTGTTGATGACTGCCAAATCTGCCCAAAGCCTCATACCCTGGTGGACATCTGCATTGGTTGAACTTGCTAAGTTATAGTGGCTTAACCACAAGATAGAAGTGTAAAATCAGGCAGCCCAGAGCACCTTCCATAAACCTCTCTCCGGATTTCTTCTATCTTGTGGCTCCACCATCCTTAACGTCTATTTTATACTCACATGGTTCAACATGATTGCTACAGCTTCATCCATTACATCTGCATTCTGGCTAGCAGGATACAGGAAAAGGAGGAAGGGCATAAGCCCTTTGATTAAGGATAGTTCTTACAAGTGGTATAGACCACTTACTCCCGTTGTCTACGACACATGACCATACCTAACTGCAGTAAGACTAGAGAAATTGGTCTTTATTACCAAAGGCCGTGGGCTAAAACTATTGGTATCCTATAACCAATAGTAGAAGAAGAGTACAGATTTGGAGTGCTTCCAGCAGTCATGCCGTAACATCGGTCTGGGCGTCGCACAAGCGCTTCAGGAGTGTACTCATTAACTTTCTCACCATTCCTCCTTGCCTAGTGCTTCTCCCTGGGCAGTGCCTTCTCTCATCCAGTCCCAAGACCAGAAACCTGGCAGTACCCTGGGCTTCTCTCTCCAATTCCAACCACTCACTAGGGAGATCCTGTAGGGATCTTCCCTACATCTCTTGTGTATTTCTCCCCTTTCCTTCCCAACTGTCACTACAGAAGCCACTGCACGCCTTCTGTCCCTTCTCCATGCTGCTGCCTAAGTACTCTCTCCAAACCCAAATGTCATGTTATGCCCCTTGCTTAAAACACTTTCCTGGATCTCCATCACCTGAAGGTGGAGTCCAAACTCTATCACCTTCTCCATCCCCAAGTCACACCTAATTCTAGCTGGGCCGATTTATTCCTGAGCTTCTCTTGAGCTTACGTGTACTGCTCATGTGCTCTGCTTCTATGCCTGGACTCCTCCCACTCTCCATTCTTAGGCAAACACCTGTTAGGTTGCATGGAAGCCCAGAGGAAAACTAATGTTCCCTCTTTGAGAGGTGGTCTGGACAGAGGTTTTTGTTCCAGGAGACTTCCCCAGGAGGCCCCTGAAGGTGGTCTGTCAGCGTTATTGAACCGGCATTACCTCTAGCTCTTCCTAGCCTCATCCAAACTCTGCCACAGAAGTTGAGTTTCTGGGCCTCCTAGGAAGTTCTGGTGCTTCAAACTGTTGAGCCATTACTCAGGACTCACCGATTTCCAGATCACTAAGTTACAACAGTAGAACACAAAAATATCTCTCTCCTAGGAAACAAAATTTTTTTTTGTGGTTATATTTCTACTCCACGGTGTCTGAATGTGAAAGAACTTTGAGTTTATGTAGGATCTGTTGCCTGTTCTGTTATTAGCACTGTAGTAGTTCCTGTGGAGAACTTCACAGACTGATGGGCAGCTGAGAGGGTTATAGACGACAGAAGTCACATAACATGGAGCTCAAGCAGAGCAAGGGACATCTCTGTGTTACCTCTGTGGTGGCAGTGAAGTTCCTGGCGGGACTGCATAAGCAAGCATACCTCCTGTCTGTCCTTGGCTAGTTAAGTAGCTTGCAGTCAGATCCCGTGTTATGATTTGTGAATTGGACCATATTCATGTCTCTGAGCCAGGAGCTCAGGCTGGATTATTTTAGATAAATTGGCACTCTGAACTTATGGGCCTTCCGATGTCTCCCCAATTGCCACAACCACTGGTAGTGAGTTATCAACAAAAGTGACAAATAGACATGCATGAGCCTCATGCCATTATTGCCAGGGTGAAGAGAGAGCCTTTACTAGAGGTCAGAGAACAGCAAGAAGAGTGTTTCTGGCAGAATGTGTGAATAGGAAACAGGTGACAGGGATTATCTCCAGGGAAGGCAGAACTGTAGGTAGCTCAGCTGTCACATGGACCTGAGTTTGAATCCCACACTACCACTAACCACAGAGTAACTCAGGGCAAGTTACTTAACTTCTCAGGACTCTGGGTTTTTCACCCAGAGGGTTATACAGGATTAGAAATAACAGACATGTGAGGCAGGTCCAAGATAGCAGCATAGGTGGATGCTGAGCAAGCCGTCTCCCAAGAACACATTGAATATACACCTATATTTAGAGCAGTTCCTCCTGGGAGACAACTGTGAGCCAACTGAACTGCTTCTGTACAATAAGCAAGAAAGAGGGACCCCTTAAAGAAGTTTGGGAACCACAAGAGCTTCCTAGGAGCTCAGGGAACAACCCAGGACCAGAGGAACCAGTGAGGGTCATTGTTTATGTTTCCCTTGAACCTGAATAGCAGGCAGGAGCTCATCCAAGTTCTGTGACTGACCTGCAGGGCACTCTGGCATGTTTCCAGCCACTCGTCCTAGAGCTAGATCCAGCAGGAACAGGAGGACACTATAGCACGCATACAAAGGGTCCTTCCACCTGGAGGTTGATCCAGCAGGTACAGCAGTGTGCTGCTTCATGCACCCACTGAGCTGCGCAAACCAGGGGCTCCCCACATGAGAATGCAGAGCTAACAAAACATAGTGATACCTGCCTGAAGGGCTACCCTGTCCAGAGAAAGAGGGTCACTGCTGCACACACACATGGGGCCACCTCAGCTGAAGAAAACGTGGAGCTAACAAAACTTTGTGGTACACACACACACAGGGCTGCCGCATGTGGAATGAACTGGGTGTGCATGCAAGGCCCTGCTGTGATCACAGACGATTAAAGCAACAGGGCATGATAAGAACACACCTTAAAGCCCTGTCTAAATCAGGCAACCCCACCCAGATTAGAAGGGCAAGGAAGTACACACACGCCAGGTGACACATCAGGTATGGCACATGCCTACCCTGACTACAACCAGTCTCCAGAACTATTCAGCACAGTCTACACACCAGTGTTTCTAGACTGGGAGGGATAGATACTCATTGCAACTCATAAGAACAAACAGAAAGTCAAATAAAATGGAGAGAGAGAATATGTCCAAATGAAGAAACAAGAAGAAACTCCAGAGAAAAACCCTAAGGCAACTGAAGTAAGTGATTTGCCTGATAAAGAATTCAAAGAAACTATCATAAGGATGCTCAACAAACCTGAGAGTACAATAGAGGAATTCACAGAGCATTTCAACAAAAATAAAGAAAATGTAATAGAGAACCAATTGGAAGTGAAGCATACAATAACTGAGGCGAAGACTACATCAGAAGGAATTAACAGCAGATTAGTTAATACAGAAGAACAGGTTAGCGACCTGGAAGACAGAATAGTAGAAATCACCCAATCAGAACAGCAAAGTGAAAAAAGATTTTTTTAAAAATGAGGATACTGTAAGTGATCTCTGGGATAACATTAAGGGCCCAAACATTTGCATTATAGGGATTCCAGAAGGAGAAGAGAAAGGGGCAGAAAGAATATCTGAATAATGTCTGAAAACCTTCCTAGTCTGGGAAAGGAAAGACATCCAAACACAGGGTTCCACACAAAATGCACCCAAAGATGCCCACACGGAGGCTGGATTAAATGGCGACAGTCAAGGATAAAGAGACAATCTTAAAGGCGGCAAGAACACGACATCAAGGCTCATACAAGGGAAACCCCGTAAGGCTATCAGCTGATTTCTCAGAAGTGACTTTACAGGCCAGAAGGGAGTGGCAGGAGATATTTAAAGTGCTCAAAGGAAGGAATCTACAACCTAGATTACTACATCCAGCAGGGTTATCATTTAGAATTGAAGGAGAGAGAGAGTTTTCTAGACATGTGAAAACTAAAGGAGCTCACCACCACTAAAATGGCCTTACAAGAAATGTTAAAGAGTCTTCTTTATGCAGAAAAGGTAATAACCAGAAATAAGAAAATACCGGGGGAAATATCCCACTGGTAAAGGCAAAAATACAATAATCACAGCGAATCAACCACTTTAAAAAGCTAATATGAAGGTTAAAAGACAATAGTAGAAAAACTAACAATAACAATAAATAATCGGGATACACAAAGCAAAGATATAAAACATGATGTCAAAAACAAAAAGTGAAGGGTGGAGAAATACTGTAGTGCTTTTAGAACACAATTGAACTCAAATGCCTATCAGCTTAAAACAGACTGCGATAGATATGGACAGATAGATATGTACCTCATGGGAACCATAAACCAAAAATATAGAAAAAATACACAAAAAAATGAAGAGAAAGGAATCCGATCAAAACACTGAAGAAAACCAACAAATCAAAAGGGAAGAATCAAGAGAAGAAGAAAGGAACAGTAAAAAACAACAAAACCACCTTGAGACAAATCAAAATAAAAACGTAACCTAACAGCAAAAGTAGTTATAGTAAGATGAAAGTTTATAGCTATACAAGCCTACCTCAAGAATCAGGGAACATCACAAATAAACAATCTAAACCTCCACCTAAAGAAACTAGAAAAAAGGAACAAACAAAACCAAAGTAAGTAGAAGGAAGGAAATAAAGATCAGAGTGAAAATAAATGAAATAGAAAATAGAAGAATGATAGAAAAGATTAATGAAATTAAGAGCTGGTTCTTTGAAAGAATACATAAAATTGACAAGCCTCTAACAAGACTCATCAAGCAAAAAAGAGCACACAAATATATAAAATAAAGAGAAATTAGAACTGACACCACAGAAATACAAAGGATCATTAAATAATACTATGAACAATTATATGCCAACAAATTGGAGAATCTAGAAAAAATGAATAAATTTCTAGAAACACAACCTTCGAAGAGTAAACCAGGAAGAAACAGAATCTGAACAGACCAGTGCTAGCCATGAATTTGAAACAATCAAAAACTCCCAACAAACAAAAGCCCAGAACCAAATTTCACAGGTAAATCTAAACATTTAAAGAATTCTTACCTATCCTTCTCAAACAAACGGAGGAGATGAAAAGACATTTCTCCAAAGAGGACATACAGATGACCAACAGACTTATGAAAAAATGCTCAGCATCATGAACCGCCAGGGAAATGCAGATCAAAACCACAATGAGATACCACCTCACACCTGTCAGAATGGCTTTCGTCAAAAAGTCGACAACATAATGTGTTGCAAAGATGTGGGGAAAAGGAAACCCTGGTGCGCTGCTGGTGGGAATGTAGCCTGGCACAGCCACTGTGGAAAATAGTATGGAGGTTCCACAAAAATCTAAAAATACAACTATCATATGACCCAGCAATTCCACTTCTGGATATTTATCTGAAGAGAACAGTACTAATTCGAAAGATACATGCACACCTGTGTTCTTTACAGCATTATTTACAACAGTCAAGACATGGAAGCAACCTAGGTGTCTATCGATACATGAACGAGAAAAAGTAGTAATATACACAGTGGAATGTATACAATGGAATGTTAGGCAAGGAAAAAATGAAATCTTACCATTTGCGATAGCGTGGATGGACCTAGAGGGAATTATGTTAAGTGAAATAAGTTAGAGAAAGACAAATACCATATGATTTCACTTATATGTGAAATCTAAACAAACACAGAAAACAAAAAAATAGACTCATAGAAACAGAGACTTAAAGGATGGTTGCCAGAGGGGAGCAGGTGGGGGATGGGTGATAAAAGTGAAGGGGAATATAGTCAGTGATATTATAAGTTTGCATGGTGACAGGTGATTACTAGAGTTAGTGATCACATTGTAAGGTATAAAAATGTCAAATCACTATATTGTACACCTGAGACTAATATAATTAATACTTTAATACCAACTGTACTTAAAAAAAAATTTTTTAAGAAGTAATACACATGTAAAGGACCTAGCATAGTACTGGCACCTAGAAAGTGCTCACCAGTTACCTGGGGCTATCAGAAGTCCCCACAGACTTCCAGCTTGGATTACCCTGTGATGGCTCACTCCTCACAGCCGTCCTGTCCAGGGGAAGGACCTGGACCTTGGGTGTGGAATTCATCTGTCCTCTCACCATCAAGGGAATCTCAAGGGCCATCAAGGGAGCCAGGCCATCAGGCTCCCTACTTTTGCAGAGGCCTCTTTGAGGTAAAAATAATGACCCCTCTGAGTGGCAGGGCCTGGTTTCCCAATGGGCTGGCATTAACCATTCCTCCTGCCACTCTCTGTCCTTGGCAGCTCTTCCAGAACTGAGCCACTAACAGTGAGGTTTTCACTGGTGTCATTGGTGGAAATAGGGAAGCTGGGAGCAGGCAGGATTCTTAAAGGAGAAGGTAGAGTCTCTGAGTTTCCCCTGGAGCCCCCCTGAGTTTGAATGGCAGCTGGACATTCATTTGGAACTATCTAGGTGACTGAAGAGAGCAGTCAGAGACAGTGATTGTAATGCAGGTTCATTCACCCTGAGAACTGACCAAGAGAGTGCAGTGAGATGAGCAAAGGGGAGAACCTCAGCTCAGGACGAGGCCACAGGGCCAGGCACCAGCTGGAGGACGTGTACTCAGAGTGCTGATGGCCCAGAATCAGTTGGCTTTCCATCAGCACAGAGGATTACAGTTTGATGTGCCTGCAGGACGCACCCAGTCCACTCTTATTAAAGGAGGGAGTTTAGTGATCTTGTCCACAGTCACATTACTTGTAGATGCAGACCTGGGATCCAAACCGAGTGTGTATACTCTTCCTGCAGTGCAGCATGGTCCTCTTGTACTCGAGGGAGGGGACTCAGGATCCCCCTACCCTGTTCCACATCCAGCCTCTACACATTCTCTGTCCCCACTGCCCTGGTTGATGTGTGTCCCCTCCTTTGCAGCTGGCTCTCCTTACAGAACTGTCCCAGAGCCGAGGCAGTGAGAACTACAGGCCATTTGGTGGCTCCCAGAGTGACCCTGCTTTCAGCAGCATCTTCCAGAACGAGAACTTCCAGTTGCAGCTCATTCCCCCGCCTGTAACTGAGGACTGAGGCCTCCAAGACCAGAGACGATCCCAAGGCAACTGGGGGTGACCCCTCTCGACTGGCTTGGCCCCCACTGCCTCCCACACTTCTGAGCAGAGGGTCCAAGGTGGAGGCTTTCTCCATGCCCATCACTCCTGAGGGAGGCTCCCTCCCCGACTCTTCCATGATGTTGCCACAGCATCGATTCACCAGACTAGTTGATTCTGTTTTGCTTGTTAAGCAAAGGAATGTCACATGCCTCCATCCAGCTTTTTGAGAAAATGTGCTTTGCTGTTGGGACTTTTTTGTTTCCCCGGAAGCCTAGAGAATAGGTGGAGTTCATGCAGATGGCATCGGAGTCTGTCATATTCGTCTCCTTCAGCTGGCAGGTAACATGGAGGGACTTCAGCTTCTGCTGCTGTTGGGAACAGTGTGGGCCAGGTTGCAGCATAGCTGAAACCTGCACTGGAGGGAGCCACGGACCTGTGGGGTGGCGGCATCTCCCTTTTGATGTGTTTATGTTAAAACCCATCTGAGTGTAAGATTTTCCCTTTCTAATAAATGCCTCTGTGTTTAAGTTCTGCGGGCCTCCTGGCTGGCTGTCTCTCCTCAACCTATTAAGCCATAAAGGACATTTAGAACACTTAGTACCGCTATTCCATTTTATTAAAGTCAAGGACCTTGATTGTGACAACACTACCTTTATTCAAATAAGCAGCTTCATCACGACTCACTCAGAGCCGCTCAGCCACCCAAGTGCTCCTTTGATGGGGACTGGCTGCCAGAGCAGCAGTTTTACATTTCTTGGCCCTGGAGACTTGTACGTCACTGAACCAACAACAGGAGGTCACCACACACAGACTAGGTTTCCACCTCAGGCTGAGGTGCTCCATTTTCAGCAGTCTGCTCAGAGAGGATCAGACTCTCATGGACTGGCTTCTGCTAACCAAGCCCACAGACAATAGATGCATGAACTAGATGCAAATTTGCTGGCCTTTAATTGATAGTAGGGCCTGCTTTGGCCACATACTAGTTGTGATCCTGGTCAAGTCATTTAACTTCTCTAAGCTTCAATTTCTTATAAAATAGAACTGTTTTGAAGACTAAATGAAACAATGCGTGTAAACATTTAGCAAATACCCTGAAATATCAGCTTAGCTTTTATCATACAGGCAGACCTTATTTCCCTGCACCACCCTTTATTGCACTTCACAGGGTTTTTTTACAAATTGAAGGCAAAACCCTCCACTGGAGAAAAGATTACAACTTTCTTAACTGCAGTGCTCTATTTTAGTGCTCTGGACCCAAACCCGAGATCCCTCCGAGGTGAGCCTGTGAAACTCCGCCCGAAACCCGCTGCACCTGATGGAGGTGTACCGAGGCCACACTGGAGGAAGTGGCTGAGCATTAAGTGAACACCCACTGGATGCTGGTTGTAGCTACATGAGATAATCTCAACCCCATTTTGCAGATGAGAAAGCTGAGGCTCAGACATGATAAATAGGTTAACCGAGGTGACACAAGAAGTGAGCAGAGACCTGAACTCAAAACTGATTCTAGAGCCAAGATGCTCCCTCCCCAGATTACAGGTTTATTAATGAGCTTAAAATTAAGGCCAAAGGAGTTTGCTATTCTCAAAGCACACTTGGTGATTGTTCCAGGCAGCTTACTGAGTGTCAGAACACCAGCTCCAACTAAAAGTCAACAACAAATCACTCTCCTCCAGCCTCTGTTTTATCATCCCGAGTTCCTTAGCTTGTCGTTCAAGTCAGCACCTCTGTGTACATTACAGTAGCTTCATGTGCAGGTCATGCCTGCCTAAGAAGCAACTCTGGACTGGATGTGACGAGCTGCCTTGTCTCCCCCAAGGGGAGGTGAGAAACCGACTCTAAGTGCTGGGTTCTGGAGATGTGCAGGCCTGAGCTGAGCCCCAGTCCTTGCCACCAGGCAGCCACTGTCCCTGTCCCCCGTCTTGTGGCACCAAGTGCATGTCCTAGTCTGCACTGATGTCAGGTCCCACTTCAGAGCAGTCTGAAATATTTCTAGACTCAGCACCAGCAGTGGTTCAGCTGCCATCTCCATGGAGCTTACTGAGGAAGCAGGTGCTCCCAGGGTGAGGGGCAAGCTAAGAGCAGGCATCTCTGAGGGCCCCACTCCAGCTCCACTGCTTGGTCACATGCAGACCCCTAGGCTGTGATGCGTGGTAAGAGGAAAGATCTGGAGGAGGGAGGTTCCAGAAACCCTTCAGGCACCATTTGGGAAGGGTAGGTACCTGGTCTGAATGTCCCTCCCATGCTGCCCCCCGGGGTGGGGGGGGATGATCCTCTGAAAGGAAATCAGGCCCTGAGGGGAGAGGGGAGTGGATTTGGGTGGCCACACACAGCAGTGTCATCACAGCTTTGTTCCTTGAACAGCCAGTATCTGAATGGACAACCTGAAAACATGGCTACTGTCAGCTCCCAGCTTCAGGCGAATGCCCCCCCCATCCACACCCACACCCTGCACTTGCCCCTCCCTCCTGCCACCAGGGGCAGAGTTGCACCCAGTTCTGCACCGGAGGCAGAAGGGACTGCTGGAAGGAGCCTCGGGCTCTACGCACAGCCCCGCCACTGGCGCCCCTGTGAGCTGAGGAAGGCCGTTTGCTCTTCTGAAAAGTAAGGATGAAAGCGACCTGCTCCGTCTACAGCAAGTCCCAGTGACGTGGGAAGATGCTTTACAAAGTAGCACGTACCAGCCAGAGCCTGCGGGGGAGGGGGAAGCGTGATTGTGGGAGATGAAAGCCGGCAGCGGCCCCCTCAATGTGCTTCAGTGAGTAATTCAGGGCTCTGGGGATCCTTTCAGAAGCTGCACGCTCCTACTCGGCTGTCTGGTGGAAATGTTTTTCCAAAGGTGCCCCCAGAATCAGATGCCTGTGACGGGCCCAGGGATGCAGGAAGGCCTCCTGGTGTGTTGTCCTCTGGGCAGCCCAGGGCCACCTCCAGGACCCCAGGGAGTCTGAGCACTGCTGAGCTCCCAGAGGGCAGCCTCGGTCATTAGAGTTCACCCCACGGCCCCTCCTCTGTGGAGCCCCTGCCATCTTTCTCCGCCAGCCTCCTCCGAACCCTGACGCTCTGTGAAGCCTCCCGGGGCTACAGACGGAAAACGGCAGTTTGACTCACCTCATTTCCACAGGTGGGTGTTTTCCTGTCCGTCTCCTACACTCGAGGTCAGGATCACGTTCTGTCCACTCCATGTCCTCCACAGCACAGTGCTTAAAACAGAATAGGTATCACCACATTTTCTTTAAAATAATCATCTTTTTTAAGTAAACCTTATGAACAGAATGTTCACAAACCGTATGTATACAGCTGGATTATTTCACGAAGTGAACACACCTGTATAACCAGCACCTGGATCAAGCAAACAAATGACCAGCACCCCAGAGGTCCCCTTAAATTCCCTGTTCCTAATGCACCCCTCCCCAAGTCAAACACTATCCTGACTTCTACCAGCACAGATAACTTTGCTGGAGCTGGTCTGTCTGGGGTGGGCCTAGTGCAAGGGGGCCTCGGGGGCAGGGAGGAGGCCTGAGGAGCAGGGCAGGGTCTGACCACACAGCCTCAAGCTGAGGGAGTAACACCAGCTGCATCTGGAATCGGTGGCAGGTTGGGGCTCCGGCTCTGCTACTTACCTGCCGTGTATGACTGACTTACCAGCCTTTATAGTTGACTTAGCTCTTGGTTGTTTCAGCCAAACTCACAAAATTACCCCGCTCTGTCTACCAGTGTCGCTGGGAAATGCTTGGTAAGCCCCCATTCGGTGCTTCGCTGATCCATGATGCTCTTTCCTGTCATCATCTTGCAGTGACACTCAGATCTCTGTCTTGGGATAAGTCACCTGGGGTTTTGCACTAGGTGACAGGCTAGGTGTCACACAGGGCTAAAATGTCGCACCAGGGCCCTACCTTTCTCATCTCCCATCTCCAAATTCACAGCAGAGCTTCCGGCTAGGGACTGAGAAAGACAGTAAGAAACAAATCCTCTCCTCTCTCCCCAGCCCACTGGCCCAAGAGCTTTGCAGCCATGGTTGGAAGTCCGGAGCGGGGTCGCTCCTCGGTGGAAGCCAGGTGGCTCAGGGCACACACTCCCCAGTCCAGCCGTTAGTCTAGCCCAACAGGCTCATGAGTTGGTCAGGCTTGTCCGTTTCCACCCGCACTCACCGCCCTAGGACTCGTCACGGCCAACATAACTTGCTGGGTTTGTTTCTCACTATGAAAGTAATATCTATTTTAGAAAACTAGGAAAATTCAAAACAAAAAAACCCACCATTAATGTCTAGGCATATTTATTTCGCCTTGCTTTTCTAGTGTTTCCGCCAAATTCCCGTATCTGCCTGGCTCCGGAAGAATTCCATTTGGCCTCTAGCTGCCCCTCCTGGAACCCTACTGTGGCGAACCAGAGTCCCAAGATCCTGTCGTACCCACAGCTCTGTGTCAGCACAGAACGGGGGTGGCACACCAAGGGTTAAAGGCATTACCAGCTCCCAGTGATTGAACTGCAATGAGGATGAGGGGCTAAATTAAAGTTTATTGCAGAATAAAAGTGTGTGTAGTCAGCAATTGTAAGAGGCTACAGTGAAATGCCTCTAGAACTTGGCAATACAATTATATGAAGTTAAATTAAAAGAATGCACACACAGTCGATGAGATTAGCTGTCTGTAGAAGTCATTTTAAAAGACAAGTTATCTTTTGTGAAGGCAGAGAGAGCTACTAGCCCTGACTGCTAGTCAAGATGGGATTCAACATGGAAGAAACAGTGGTCTAATCAAAGCACTGAGGTATTTGCAGAAAGATGGTGTGTGCGCGCACGTGTGCGTGTTGCGGGAGGTCTGTGTGGAGTACAGAAGAGGAAAGGGGAAGGGAGCCTGTGGCTGTTTCTCAGCACTGCCTGGAGCGCAGCCCCCCGGGGGGCAGCGTGACCCCCAGCCTGTGGGAAGGTGTTCGCTGAGTGGGGGACAGGCTCTCCTCCCAGGCTCACTAGGCAGCCACCTCACTTGGCCTCCCAAGTACCTTGAGGGTGGGAAGGGCCACAAGAGTAGACAACACAGGCAAAGGGCCAGGACGGTGAGCTCTAGAGCCAAAGTGATGGGTTCAAATCCTGACTCCCGCTACTTACAAACGGTGCCCCATGCAGCAAAAATATTTACTTCCCGAATTCTTTTCCTGGTTTGTGAAATGGGGGTGCTGAAATCTCCTTCAGGGGTTGCTGTGAGGGTTACTCATAGAAAGCAGTAAGGTAAATATTGAGCTATAATTAATACTAACAATGATATTACTAATAAAAGGATTTACTTAGCAGTCCTAGTGAGGTTATTCAATAAAAGCCAACCCCAGAGTTGTTCTTTTCTGGGGGTGCTAAATGTAAAAATTGAGCTCCTGGGTTTGTTTGCCAGCCTGGGGTTTTGACCGTGAGCCTTGGTGACCAAGTGGCTGCACCTCAAGGGCGTGTGGTTGAACTGTCTACGTGGTGTGTGTAAAATGAATACAAAGCTTGTAGCTTTGTGTGAAAGATACACCGTTTGTGGGAAAATGTGTTATCTGTATAAGCCTAATGTAGCCAACAAAAAAGTTCTCATTACAAAGGGTTCTGGGAGTTACCAGGAGAGGTGACGATGAATGTGTATTATGGATAATGACATTTACCTGCATTTCACGAAGCGTTTATAAAGTTTAAATGGGATAATGATGTAAACCGCTTATTTCCTGGGACAATGTAAACATGCAATATAAATATTTCACATTGTACAAATGCAAGTTTTGTTTTGTTTAGCTCACTGTGTTGTTATTTAAGTCAGAACCTCTCCGAACTGCAGGGAAAGAACATTCCAAACTCCAAAATATAAAATTTGTGCTGGTACAAAAGAAAAAAAATTACGTTTATTTTACAAGGTAGTTATTTTCCTAAAGTACTTTACATAAAGGAAAGTTGAGCTGTCTGTAAGAAAACAATATAATTTTAGGAAATTACAGAATGGTCAACATTGTGCTTAAAAATTTAAAACAGACAAATTTAAAAAATAACACAGAAAGTGAATATTGTAAGGTAAGAACAGCCTAAAAAAGTGTATGAACAGAATGATATGCAAGCTCAGTATTAAATCTCTAGAGATGATCTGCTTTCAGACTTGTTCGGAATATCAGAGAGCACTGCGTCCACCTTAATAGAAAAAGGAACTCAAAGCGCTATAGAAACATGGCCCTTTCCTAATACAGTCCACTCTCAATTATCCATAATGAAAGGGAGCCATGGCATATAAAATGTTTAAAATTCCAGTATTAATTTTGAGAAGCATCCTTGTACTTATGCTTGGATGTGAGAAATGCTGACATCCCTGGGATCACGGCACTGATGAAGCGAGCAGAACTCCTACTTCCCTCTCCCCTCCTCAAGGGCAAGACACTGATCACAAACTACTTTCTAAAAAGCCTCAAATACAGCTGGCCTCCTTCATTGTGGTTCACAGCTCCTCTGGGGAGGGGAGTAGGAAAGAACACAGTTAAAATTTTGTTTTCCTCATGTAGCCAAAACGTTTCAATAAAATTTTGCAAACAAGATGGAATAACCAAGAGCTGACTATATAAATATTATTTTATCGTACGCTTTTTTCCTTGGCTAGTGGTATTTATACTGCCAAACATATCTGGGTATTCTGACAGCTTTTTAAATTATCTGGTTGTATCCTATCACCCAAATAGAGAAATCTGCATAAGAGGAGTAGTTATGATCAATTCCATAAAAACCGGGATACTTCAAACAGGCCAGGAAGGGAGGTTAAGAAATAAAACCCCACCCCCCAGCCAGAATCAAATCTTAGATCAAATCCAAAAGGTACTTCAGGACAACTTCATGGCTAGGTTCTGGTTTTAGTGCTTTTATTTTCTATAGTATTACCTTGAACCACAAGTTTTCCCTTTCTAGGAAAGCAACCTTTTTTTCTTCAGAGTTTTCCTCAAACTCTCTTTCCAAATCTTGAAAATTACAAGGTAAAAAAAAATCTAGATTTGATGGTAAAGCCGTATTTGTTAATGTACCAACTAACTACAACTACAAAGCATTTTAATTGCTTTGTCATTTCTCAGAGAAGTTATGAGCATATTTGAAACTTGAAAATTCTAAAATAAATTTTGGTGCGATAAGCAAGCTAAATTCCACACAGCACTTATTTTGTATCTTCTACCTAACACCTCTTACACCAACTTTCAAAAAGTAGAAATGGGGCCAGGTTTTTACAAAGCCCAAGAAAGCAGTTTCTCCATCTGCACAGCCCAACCCTCTGTTCAGGTGAGCACACCACCAGGTCCAAATCAAAAGCTTCCATATCTCTCAGTGTACAAGTATTAACCAAAAGGCTATTTAACATGACTGTTTCCAATGCCTATAATACACGTAGCATCTAAATATTTTCTAAAGTGCCTATAAATATGCTTATACAAAAGAGCAATATAATATCAGGATTACAGAGAAATTCTTTTATATAATATAGAACAGAACAGGCTAGAATTTAAGTTGAAACCACACATTTTTATATCCTTGTCAGTTGTTTTTGGAATGCAAGCATAAAGAAACAATTCTGGTTCAATCATATATGATTTTCTAGAGAATTATTAATATTAACAGTACTAGGACAAACAAAATTCTTGCTTGTGCTTGTTTAGAAAAGGTTGAGATCCAGGAGCATCTAATATTTAGAACCGAATGGAACATCTCCAATTTCTATAAAGTATACAGTAGTAAGCTAAGCTTAGTGAGTTTTTAATTATAAAGAGATTGTGCAAATATTTAAAGTGTTATCAACCATTATTAAATCCAAAAATCCATTAAAATTGTGGCTACTCTGAATGGCAGTTCAAGAGTTTTAAAAGTTATAGATATTATTGGTAAAAGGCCCAACCCCGAACAGCCAGCTTCAGAAACAGGGCCCTGTGACCATGAATTTCCATGGGTTTAAAGACCTGGTGGTTGACTCCAATTAGTTTAATGGACTGGAATGAGGAATGTGGGCCCAGAGCAGAGAACTGGTAGGAACAGTGCAGAGAAAGAAAACCCTCTGTATGTGCACTGGGGAATTCAGTGAGATCACCCATGGGTGGGGGGGGCGTGCGGGGAGGGTAGACAGGACACTGACGTTGCTGTTACCACCTTGAATAACAACAGTTGTCTGTACAGCTTCTGAGCTCACTTCAGCTGGCCACTCCATCATGGGAGGCACTGAGAACCTCAGGCGGGGCTCAGCAGGTATCTGTCCCTAAGCCACCTGGGCTGGGAGGCCAGGCCAGGGTGGAAGCCCCTCACTGCCCCCCCACCTGCCCTCTACTGTGCCCCATTCCTGGAGCTCCTCACCACTTTAATGGTTTGACTTGTTGAGTCTTACATTTCATAAGTGGGAATCCTTATGCTTTCTATCTAGCTTAGAAAGTTTTAGCTGACACTGTTCTCAGAGGAACCTGCATACTCTGCTGTCTAGACCCTCTGGATGTTTAGGCACCTAAACCTAATGAGTGTCCTAGCCAACCACTTGAACTACACATACAACTAGGAAAGCAGAGTCTGCTTAGTGATTTGTGAAGGAACCCAAGTGGAGGCTTCAGGGAGGAACACAATGGACCTCCTCTTATTTCTTAAAATACAAACTAACGTAGCACAGAAGAGAGGTGCCACAATGCCGACAGAGCACACTCATGGGTAGTTAGGATATAAGAAGTAGCTCTCTATCTCCAACTCTGATAGTTCTAGTTTCATTAGGCCATATGTTAAATTTCCTGGATTCTTAACTATGCCTCAGAGAGAGAGGATTTGGAGGAATGGCAAATAACCAACTCACACACAAGAACACCTGGTATAAATGGAGACTGGGAGTAGAATTCTGAAGAGAGCTAAATAAGATAGAATTACTCACTATTTTGTATGTGTGAGAAAAGGGAATATGTAAAACAGACCATGAGTATTACTGTAGTAAAATGAATGACTACACAAAATATTTTCTCCTGACTTAGCAGTGAACTATTTCAACTGCTTTTGTATTTGCATAAAAACCCATGCATTGTAATGAATTCTAATCCATTTCCCACCTAAGCCATTCTAATGCTTCATACAACCAAATGAAGCAGAATTCACCAAACCTATTAGATTCATTCCTAATCCCTAAAGGACTGCTGTCTTTAGCATTTCCATGCTAACTAAAACTATTACTGATATTTTCTTAAGACGTCAGATGTGGCTGCCTCCTAAATATAATAGCTGTATAACTTCCTAAAAGTTTTTCCCAGATTTGAACGACAATTAAGAAAAGCAGGGAAATGTTGGGAAACCCACCCAAGAGACCAGCTCAAATGCTGCAACACATTCCCCAGCTACAAGCCAAGTACATCTCTCCTTTCCCTGGGTTCCCAGAGCATCCTGGGTAATGCTACCTGCATGTCTTATCTCCATTATTAACCCGTGGTTCCTTCACGTGGGGAGTCAGGTCTTATTCATTCTGTATCCCCACAGCACCCTGTAGAGTGTACGCACTCAGCAAAAGCTGGATTCAGCATGAAATTGAAGATGTCGTCTCCTTAAATGAAGGTCTAGTTCAGCCCCAGGTGACGGAGGGCTGTGCAGACACTGGCCACAGCCAGGGGCCGAGCTGGCCCTCACTACCCTCCTAGAAGTCAGCCAGGCAGCTGGCCCTGGGCTGTGCAGTGGTGAGGAGAAAGGGAAAGGGAGAGAACGACATCTACCAGGGCACAGTCTGTTGCCCTCGCTCATGCCATTCCCACATGGGACAAGCAGGGCAGCAGCGGTGCCCGTCAGCATGCCAAGAGGAACTGCATGCCAAGAGTTTTCCTGTGAAGAACTGGGTGTTTAGAAAATACTGTCTCCTTCACTCTGGGTAGCTCCTCAGCCTGGTCCACGCTACTCTGTGATCAGCACTTCATCGCTCACAAAGTTCCCAGTGAAATTAAGGCTGGGTCACAATTCATGACACCAGATAGATGCTACATAGAAAGTAAGTCAAGATACAAAAGAAAACAATACCTTAGTTATAAGACTAATTTAAGAGTGAAGCTAATCAGCAGACCACTGAGCTGCTATGGTGGTTAGAGTAGGGTAGAAAACACCAACTGCGCTGGAAGAAGGCTCCATCCAACGAAAGTACAAATGCCCAGCTGGGGCCCGGGCGCGGCCTCCTGCCTGACTCACACGGTGGTCTCCATCGTTTCGATCACCTCCAGGTCCGACTGTGACGGCGAGAGGAGGGTGCACTCCTCGGGCTCCCAGCTGCTCTCTGGGCTGTAGTCTTCCTCTGAGCTCAGTTCCGCTCCTTCCGTGTCCTCATCACACGACTCCACACAGTGAGCCCCAACGGCGTTGATCCCGGAGTCCTCAGAACTTGAGGGAGAAGAGCAGTGATCTATTTTTGGCGTATTGCTCTCTTTTGAAATTAAGGCATCGTGTGCAGAGACCTCCTGAGGGCTCATTTTGTGGGAATGTGGTGCTGGCTGCTTCTGCACATAACACATCTTCCCATTAATACATTTAACCTGATAGTTGTCAATAAAGAGGTCTGAGATCATACAGTACCTTGGTGAATCAGGTGGGAGGGGAGGCTGGAAGACGGATGCGAATTTCAGAAAGTGTTCAGTGAGAGAGACTGAGATCTGAATGGTGTTTGTGGGTTCCCGAGGCTTCGCAGGAATCTCAGTGCTTGGAAGCTGTTCCACGGGAGTCATAGGCTGATACACGTATTTGCCTATGAGGAACACAGAGAAAGCAGTCGAAATCTAAGCCACAATGGTTTCTTTCCAAGAGTCAGAATGTTCTTAAAAATATTTCAATAACATCTCAAAAGAAACTAATAATAGAATCATTCCATATTGTTATAATCAATTAAAAACAGACCATGGTATATAACATCATGGTATTTTCATCTAGAAAACTCAACATGCCTTACAAATCTTAACTATATTTGAATCTTTCTAATGACTCTGAAGTAGGTGGGTGGATACAATAATCTTTATTTTATAGACATATATTTTAAGTGACTTATTCCACATGCTAGACAGAATAAAGAATGTCCATGATACAGTATGGTGAAAGCACAAATTGTAAAACAGTATAATACAATAAAATTATAGTTCCACTTTTATTTTTAATGATTATATGTTAATATACATTCATAAACTGGAAGAATATATACCAATTTATTGTTGGGATTACAGAAGACTGACTTTAGGTTTCTGTATTATAATCAAAATACACACACACACACATATTCCAAAGTGACGGATGGCCTACAGGGCTGTGGCAACCCCCCATGGCTGGGGTAAGGTGTAGGGTGTGGAACGGTCTCTTTCCAGACCAGAGCTCCTCGGTGTCCTAAGTAGGAGATGTTCCCCATGACACCAACTCCACTGGCACTAAGCAGCCTAAGCCAAGCAGAAGCAAAGGAACATGCGGGCACAGAGCGGAGGTAACCTGCTGGACTGAACCCTCAGTGTCTCTCTCACTGTTTACATGAAGCGGCACCTAATGGGTCAGCTCCTGACATGCCTGTCCTTCTCTCTGATTTCATTCAACATTTAGCAAAGCCTCCCACGTACAAAGTGCTAAGGAAACAGAGAGATGAAAATTACCCAGGCTATGAATCTAAAATGATTTAGAGGACATCTGTAATATTTTCAACACTAAAGATAAACTTAAAAAATAAAATAAAAATGATTTCAAAATAGAAATATGGAAGAAAAAAAAAAACACACAGAAAAACCCAGAGGCAGTAGCGACAATTACAGGCACCATCTTGGTTTTTCCTATGGAGCTGATTTATCAGTCAGTCCACACCGTATCTGCCACACACTATTTATGACAGGGCTTTAAACCTCAGCACTGTTGGCATTTTGGACCAGTGCTCTCCTATGCACTGCAGAATATTTACCAGCATCCTCAGCCTCCACCCACTAGATACCAGTAGCACCTTCTCCCCAGTCAATATGTCCCCAGACATTGTCACATACCCCCTGGGGGGGCAAATTCACCCTGGCTAAGAAACACTGACTTGTGACATCCTAGAGATGCAGCTAAGTCACTCACTGTGTGACTCCTGTCTGTTTTATTTCTTGGTCAGACTGAAAATTCTAGGATAGGAGTCGCATTTAGAACACGAACTACCTTAGATTGTTTAAATAAGCTAATTAAGCAGAATAGCAATTTCAGATCAGAAATGTGAGCAGCAAACTAAGCCACAAACAGCACATCAGTGATCTATTAGATCAATCGAGCCTGCTTGTGTTTTTTACTTCTGTTTCTTCTGCACACAAAAAAAGAGAAGTAGACTCAGATACCACAATTTCTTTGTAACAAAATTACCTTAAAATATATTCATCTTCATTTTGGAGGAACATATAGAAAAGGCACATTGAAAATGTGAAGCCTCTGGGTTCCCAGGTCACTCCCAAACCTGGACATGTATCATGCAAACCCTATGGGCTGATAAGAATGCAAGTGAGAAGAACCTGCCATACCTGCCCTATGTTTAAAATATGTCAGGTCTTTTCATTTCTGTTTCCTGTAAAACAGGGTACTACTGCTTGTCAGGCAAAGTCAGATCATGTAAGATCTAACAGTTTGGCGTGAGAGGACCTCTGCCTCCAATTGTTACAAGTGGGCTTATCAGCTGAAGGGAAAAAAGGTGGGCCCTGCAATCCACCAGCCCCAGGATTAGAGAAAGAAGTATCCAGGCAGGGGACAGAGAAGGGGCTTGGAGAACCCAGGGGACTACTCCCTTCTGTCCAGAGAGCAGTTAACAAAACACCTGGAATGGAAGTTTGGTCTTTTCTATCCTTGGCCAGTGGAACGATGGAATGGAGCTCAGGAAGCGGTGGGTGGCAGGCCCTCAGGAAACACTGGTTGCAGAATGCTCATTACGTTCATTCCACCCAAGTAGCCACCGACTTAGTGACCTACTTGTCACAGCCACAGGAGGTTCCCGGCAGTTGATCCCTAGACCCAGGAGGGATCAGGGTTTTATTTAGTCCAAAGAAAGAAGAGATCATGAAAGCCTGACTGGAGTGTCTCTAACCACACTCACCTCTCCCTCACCTGCCCCGCCCACTTCCTTTGTGCTTCTTCATAGTAATTTCTTTGTTTTTCCTCTTATTCTTGATTCATCTGCCTCTTTCTCTCTCTAATCCTCTTTCCTCCAAAGCTCTGTTTTTCTTCCTTGATGTGCAGTAAAAGAAAGAGGAGTGCAGTTGGGAGAGGGAAATGAGTCCTGCGTTCCAGAGTCCATTTCCTTCCAAGAGTTATACCTACTGAAGGTGTTTACTCAGAGCTGGGAGGCCGCCCATTTACCTGGTCGTATGGGATACAGACGCAAAGAGGAAGGCCAAGAAGAAACAAATGAGTAAAGATGGCCAGATGAAAAACAAAGCTTAGTAAACATCTTTCAAATATTGTTTGATTTGCTTATAAATACCTAAATAATAAAATAAAACAAACTCATATCAAGGATTTGGTTTTATAAAGAGCTCAGAGGGGTCAACGTTGCTCCAGTCCCCAGTAATTTCTACTCTGTACACTATGCTGTGAGTCCATGTTCACAATGACAGCCCTGAAGCACAGCAAGATCAGGAAGTAACTGAGAGACTCAATTATGTCCACTCTACTGTACTTCCTAAGAGAATAAAAGGAACTAACACGCTTCTGCAATAGCAAGGGTTGAAACAAACGGGTTTCCTGACACTTAGCCAGGACATTCAATAACTGCTATACTCTATTCTCTAGACCATCTTCTTAACGAAGGACTTACTACATTATTTAAAGAAATAAATGTATGAGAACTTTTAAAACTTAAACCTCTAAATGGAAAAGATATCGAGTGTCGGGGCTTAGAGAAGAGCAGAGCAGAGGGAGAATAAAAGGAGGTTCTACAGTGTGATCCATCAATTCCGCTTCTGGGTATAAATCCAAAAGAACTGAAAGCAGGATCCCGAAGAGAGATCTGTGCACCGTGCTCACAGCAGCAGTATTCACAAAAGCCAAAAGGTGGAGGCAGCCCAAGTGCCCACGATGGGTGGAGAAACGATATGGTATATATAATTTNCTCACAGCAGCAGTATTCACAAAAGCCAAAAGGTGGAGGCAGCCCAAGTGGCCACGATGGGTGGAGAAACAATATGGTATATATAATTTTATATATATATATATATACACACACACACATATACATATATATATATAATTTAAAACAATACATACAATGAAGTTTTATTATTCAGCCTTAAAGCATAAGGAGACCCAAACTACAACACTGATGAACCTTGAAGACATTGTGCTAAGTGAAAAAAGCCAGTCACAAAAACACAAATGCTGTATGATTCCACTTATAGGAGGCACGCAGTCAAATTCATAGAGACACAAAGTAGAATGGCGGCTGCCGGGCCGGTGGAGAAGCGAATGGGGAGCTGTTGATGAACAGGTACTGAGTTTCAGTTCTGCAGGATGAAGGGTTCTGGAAAGGGATGGTGGTGATGGATGCACAACAATATGAATGCAGTTAATACCACTGAACTGCACACTGAAAAATGGTAATGATAGTGAATTTTATCTTTATGTATTTACCACAATTTTTTAAATTAAAATATTAATTCATATAATTCACTATATTAACAGACTGGAAGGAAAACTCCGTATGATCCAGAATATACAAGGTGAGGCAAAAATAGGTTTACAGTTGTGAGTACGTGAGACAGAGTTTCTTCTTGTATTATTATTTATTAATTATTGTATTATTTTCCATACAAACTATAGACCTACTTTTGCCCCAACTTGTATAAAGAATTCTTATAGCTCCATAATGAGCAAACCCAATTTTTTAAAAAGGGGTATATCTATACAATGGCAACATGAGGGATCTTTGTAGTGAGGGGAATGTCCTGTGACTTGACTGTGTCACTGTCAGTATCTTGGCGGTGATACTGCATTACTATTTTGCAACTATAGTTGCCTTTAGTGAAAAGTAGATAAAGGATACACAGGATCGCTCTGTATTTTTCTTAATGCACTTCTGATGAGAATGTAAATTGGTGCAGCCACTATGGAAAACAACATGGAGTTTCCTCAAAAAATTAAAAATAGAACTACTTTAGGACCCAGAAATTCCACTTCTGGGTATTTATCTGAAGAGAACGAAAACACTAACTCAAAAAAACATATGCACCCCCATGCTCACTGCAGCATCATTTACAACAGCCAAGACATGCAGGCAACCTAAGTGCCCACTGATGAAGAGTGGGTAAAGAAAACATGGCACATACACACAATGGGATATTGTTCAGCCATAAAAAATGAACTACTGCCATTTGCGACACGTGTGGACCTTGAGGCATTATGCTAATTGAAATAATTCAGAGAAAGACAGATACCATATGATTCACTTATATGTGGAATCTTAAAAACAAAAACAAAAAAAACTAAGCTCATAGATAGAGAACAGATTTGTGGTTGCCAGAGGTAGAGGGTGTGGGGTGGACAGAATGGGTGAAGGAAGTCGAAAGGTACAAACTTCCAGTTGTAAAATAAATAAGTCATGGAATGGGATGTACAGCATGGCAACTATGGTTAATAATACTGTAATGCACATGTGAAAACTGCTGAGAGAGTAAATCTTAAAAGCCCTCATCATAAGTAAAAATCTGTAACTATGTATGGAGACATGTTAACTAGACTTATTATGGTCATCATTTTACAACACATACAAATATCAAATCACTATGTTGTACACCTGAAACTAATATAATGTTGTATGTCAGTTAATATCGCAATAAAAAAACTGCATGTGAATCTATTTTTTTCAAAATAATATATATAATTTAAAACAATAAGAAAAAACCCACCCTTTTCTGAGCATTTTATGAGAAGGTACATACTAAGATAGCTCATTACAGATGATGTTCACTTTGAACATTTGTTTAATGTGCTATATATGTCTAGGTATTTCCTCTGTAAAGTTAGTACTTTTCTCTTTGAAATTATTAAGTATCTTGTGAGGAGATATTCTAAAACTATGCAAATATCCTGTTTCTCATCCCACTTTCGCCTGCTAGTTTTAGCACACACAGATAGATCCAGTCTGCAGCAATCACTGCTCTGGTGCCAGTGATTTTTCACCTCCACCATCCCTTCCATATTTATTAATTAGAATCCTAGGTAAGCAAGAACTATTCTTTCTCCCTCATTTATTTATCCAAGTATATATTTAGAAAAACACTGACTCACAGATATTTATTCTATTCTATAAATTGTAATCCGTTACTATCATTATTTTTGTTGCTCCAATTGTCCCAGATTTAGCTCTTGGGAGCTCCTTCAAGTTCACATGCGTCCCTTCAGCATGCCCCCATCCTTTTTTTGAAGACATCCTTACTTCTGACACCATAAGATATTACCAGCTTATCTGTACTTCTTCTTGCCCCAGTCCAGGAATCTGCCATTTCTCCAAGGATCCCTAGTTCCTTTTCTTAAGAACTTACATACATTCTGAAGCTTGTCCTCAAAATATTCCTGTGAAATAGAATCTTAGTTTGCTAATGACTCATTCAATCACTCACAAAGCTCATCCATAGGAAAGTGGAGACTTGATCTCATTACAGTACTTAACATCCATTTAAAAAATGTTAACATTTAAAGTAAACTTCACAAACCCATTAATTCATCTGAAATCTTTTTCAAAGGAGCCGAAATACACTCTCTCAATAATGAAACAGATTATACAACACTAAGATCACAAAAACCAACTGTGTGCAGTAAGTGAAAAATAAATTTCACGCATCTCGCTTCTTTTCGGGGAACCTGATGCAACAGTATCAGCTGTTTCTCAACTAAAGACCAATTAGAGCCATTAAATAAGTAACTCCCACTATTCTTTCAAAGTCCTGGTTCATAATTTTTCTGGTTGTTATTCCCCTTTGGTGTTTCACAACGCCTTGTGAGAGACACTAAAAAAGA